AGAACAGCTGGAGTTCCAGCTACTACTGCTGCTGCTGCTGCTCACAGAACAGCTGGAGTTCCAGCTACTACTGCTGCTGCTGCTGCTCACAGAACAGCTGGAGTTCCAGCTACTGCTGCTGCTACCTCGTGTGCATTAACTGTGAAACATCAACGGTATGAAATGCAGCGCCGGCGATATCATGTCCAAAGACATTCCAGAAGGATCCAGTGCAAAACCTCCCCCTGCTGCATGATTTTATGACCGCAAAGACCCCCCTCCCCCCCCTCCCTCCCAACATGATGTCATCAGCCCTGATGACTCCTGCTACGTCACCAAGGGATTCACCACACAGCACAGTCTGTCCGGGGATGGAAGGGTGACCTTGTCTCTCCAGCATGAGGAGATTGGTCTGTTGTAGAGGCAGACAGGATTTACTGCTTCTAGCTAACATCTCCTATCCATCCACCCCCCCATTTAATGCTGCAAAATCCTAGAGCCCTCTGGGTATACCAGAGTACTGAGCTCCTGCTAACCATGCGTAAACCATTTACAGCAGATGGGGATTAGGACCCCAAAGCAATGACCCACAACCTACTGCTTCTGAGCAACACGACCCTCAATTGACCCCCACCAACGATGTCATTCTCATCCTACCCCCCTTCAATGGCATTCAATGACAGGTTGATGAAACGCAACAATAAGGGGTTATGACCGCTAGATTAAAAATAGCTTGTGAATATCAAAATGTATAGAAAAAACATCCCTACGTAGGATACTATCAACTTACATCATTACGGAGGGTGTGCTACGTTTTCAACTCCGTTTCCCCCTCCATCATGATTAGAGGCAGTGTTGATTTGCAGCACGCAACATCGCCAATCTAAAGACGTTTTAAGACCACGGCGTTTTTTTTCCCACAAGCTCATCAGGTCAAATGAGGAGGAGATGGTGGTGGCGGTGATGTCCCAGTTTGTCGGCACAGTAACCAGTAACACCATTTTACGCACAAGCATACACACATACACATACACGCGCGTGTGTGCGCGAGCGAGCGAGCACACACACAGACACACACACACGCGTGCACACACACACACCCTCACACACTAGCTGCCTACTCGTTTGATCAACCCGGCACAGATTAGAGGAAAAGGTGAGGAGGGACCTGAGGAGGAGAATGTGAGCAAATGAAGACCAGAGAGAATGGGAGCAAATCTGCCCCCCCAGGAAATAATAGGGGGCGGGGAGGGGGGGGGGGGGGGGGGGGGGGGGGGGGGTGGGGAGTAGGCTGTGCAGAATGTGACCGCTCATCATGGCTGCTAAGCCAAAGATGAACCAAACATCAAGAGGGAAGGATTAAGGACCAATGATGGAGAAATAGACAGAGAGAAAAAGAAAGAGAGACTGCAAGAGAAGAGAGATTGAAAGAACGCGAGGGAGGGGGAGGTAAGGCTGGACTATGTTTAGCGTGACACCAACAGACCCTGACAGAAACAGAGGCACACATACATTTACAGAGGATGCATATAACTGCTTTGGATGCCAGGGAACAGGAGGGAAAGATGTCCATCGTTACACTGGCACGAGTGCTGGGCTGTCGCAATGGCTTCAAATCCCACTCAGGCTAGTCCCCAGGATGCACCAAGCGCCGATCGCTGCCGGCCAGGATCAAACGTTGCATCACGTTTGTGTTGCCTTGTGGTTTCGGACAACTAAGAGACACAGACTTCAAACGTTGACATTGGCCCATCCATGAAGAACAGTGTAACCACGGGAAAAAACATTTACAGTTGGAGAACAGAACAGAAACAGTAGTCAAACAATATCTCACGGCATGCCTGTTACGGGTCTCCCCAACTCCATGTACCGCAAACTGCATGAGACGAACGCCAAAGAGAACAATGAAAGCTGGAGGGAGTCTTATTTTTAGCGTGAGGCCTGTAACGATGCCTCTTAGCGATGGCCGACAGACCTACATATACCGAGCCAGCTGAACTGAACTGGAGAAACTGACAGGGGAACCAAATCGAGCAAATCATGGGCACGGGGTTGGAATTACTCATGTAATGTTTTGCAAGGCTGCCTTCATTTCAGTTCCCATTTTCAATTATTGTTCTTAAAGGAAAAGTAGCAAAAAATGGAGAAAGTAGCAGAAAAAGTAGAAAGCAGGTCACAATCAGAGCTAATCTGGCACCAGGCTCCCCTGAGTGGCTGCGGGTGTGGCTTTTTTTAACAGGATTTAACACAGTTGGTTCTGTATTTTCATCTCTCAGCGGCAGGGCCGGTAATACAGGTGGGATGAGCTACTTTTACTCCCGGAACCGGCGAGGACAAAGAAAGCTGGACATCTTGGTAGGACACGCATCACATGAACTCCCATGTCAGGAAGACCCTGAAGCGAGGTCCACCAGATGGGCACGCACCTGTCAGGGAAGTGCCCCTCCCACCACCTGCTCCACGCCACATGGTTCGAGGCGGCGCTGGGCCACGCCGTTCCCATTGGCTGACCCGGCGCCCCTGATGCAGAGCGCATACATCAAGCGTCGGGGCGAGGAGGAGGAGCAGGAGACTCAACACGGAACATGGTTCAACATCGCAAAGGGCTGCAGGAGTCAATCAACCGCAGCAGCCGATGCGCGGCAGGGAGACCGACGCATCCCAAGGGAGCAGCCTCTGTTCTGCGGCTGCCTGCTCCAGCCTTCTTAAAGAGACTGTCCCCCCCACCCTCTGCCAGCCCCCCGCGCCATCACCCTCCTGCCCATGACTCAGACCCGCCATGCGTTCGAGCACGAGTGGGTACCGCCGCTCAAACACGCTGACGGAGGGAACATTTTTTTTTATTTCAACACAAGCGCTTGTAATTGCATCACTCAGGCTGCCCCGAAAGTCACATGACATTCGGTCAACTGGTGGACCGCCTGGCTGAACTCCTCCATCCAATAAGCAGGCTCCCCAACAGGTAAACACACACCCCCAGCCCAATCAGACATCTCACAGGCCTTTAATTCTTTAGCTGACTAACTCCAGCCCCCAGGGGCTATGTGCTATGCATGACTTTCAAAAAGGTATCCGATTCACAGCAGGTGACAGGTGTGCAGTGAACTTTAAGAGAATTACTCAATTAAGGACTGTGTTGGGGAGAAGAAAAACAAACAAACACTCTTTGGCTCTGATGATTCCAACAGATCACATTCTACACATCTAATGACTGACCAGAACTCCAATGCATGGCTTCTCAAAAAGCACAATATCAGCTTTTTAAGCATCCACAATGTCCAGTGATATAAGCTTAGATTCATTGTCAGGAATCTGAGCTTAAACCTTCACATTACTCTCTTTCAGAGTTTGTCCAACCGACCACAAAATGCTAACATGTAACATAACACCAGTGAAGGCCCTAATCCAACGTAAATTTACGAACGAGCGCCTGCAAATACACCTGAGCAGGATCCATTTCTATAAACAGCAGCTGTTGTGGGTGGTGTAACATACCTCCCTCCCCAATCAAGGCAAATAACAGCACACAGAAGCCTGCTAGGCTGGCCGATTCGTCCTCCATATAACCCCTTTATTAAGCTACATTTGCCTGTTGCATCTAAAAACATCGCTGTTAAACATTACCAACTACAGGTTGCTTAAAAGTATTGTTGATGCAGCGCATCTGGATAAATTACTTTTTGACTTAATTTAATGAACCATTCAGTTGCTCAATTGTCCATGGGCAGGGGAAGTAATCAGTCACTAATAAAAATACCTAATAAAATTAATAATGGATTGAAAGCAAAAATAGACCTCTTCTCATTTTATCAGTACAAACATCTCCCATAATCTCTTACTCAGAGCTCAGTGTCAGATCTCAGTGTCCCAACCAAACTCATCTATTAAGATTCCGGCAGGATGCAAAAAAACCAAGTCAGGGCATCCTGACCCAGACAGCACTCTGAAATCCTACACAGACCGTGTCCTGTCAACTAAAACCAGTTCATGCCGACAGAAACGCCCTGATGAATAGGTGACAAAAAGTCAAACAAATCCCCGTTTGTCTCGGTTTGACACTGCAGCCACTGGCTGCGATCAGAAACCGCCTTGCAACCGGACGGACTGGCTGGGGTGAGCGGCTCAGGGAACCAGTCATGCTGCACCGTCTGGGACCAGATTCCCAAGATCGCCACGTACGTGAGCATCAGTCTGTAGCCAAACCCAGTCTGTATCTGGGAGGGATACCGCACACAGCGAGAACCAGACACGGGGAGATGACAAGAGGCGAAAGACGACCTGCTACGTGCAACTTTTAACGCGAAAAGGAGGAGAAAAGTAGCGCCACGGAGATATAGGGAGCGCAATCGCGAGCGTAGCTGAGGAAAGAGATCCTTGTATATAAGAGGTATCCATTATTTATAGAGATCTTATGTAATGGAGACAAGCAACACGGGAGGCAGTACTTGAGAAAATAGATAGCACGGGTGTAAAGAATACAGAAGCGACAACGCTGGTTGTTGGAGACTGCGCGGCCGAAATGCAACACACAGGAATGACAAATATATCAAAGGCTGACAGGTTAATGCATAAAAACGCAGAAAACTCATAAAACATCGGAGGCCGTGTCCCAAATCGGGGGAAAAATGTGCTTTCTCACACACTCACACACACTTAGAGATCACGCTAAAACAGCCTCTCCATCCGCACCAACCTTTATAGCGTCTGTGTCTTCTTGTGTCCCACTGCTCCGGGTCCGTTCGCTCTCCCATCCTCCGATGTCCAGCCCCGTCCCTCTCCCGAGCCGGCCCGTAGAGGGGCACCAGTCCCTGCCCGATCCCACCCCAGCTGAGCTTTTATTAGGGGAGGGGGCGATAAAACAGCCTGTCGCCCGCGACGGGACTTCTGAAGCTGTGAAACACCCGGCCGCCTAGTGAATTATTCAACCGATAAAATGTCCATAAACGCCACGCCTTCGGCCGTCCGCCGAACAGATGCAAACCGGAAAAATCTTTTTAAAAAATAATAATAAAGGCTTTCGCAGGCTGTACGATGACCAGACCATCCAACGCCGTCACGATTTCTATTAATCTATATTGCCATCCAGCTAGATACTGTCATGCTCCGTCGTTAATGGTGTCGTCTTGGAGTTTATCGATATTTTTCACGGCGAGTCGCTCTCTCCATGACCGGTCCGGTTTTAATCTCCGCGGCTCTCATCCAGTCTTTCATCCATCGTGAAACCCGAAATTAGAGTAAGGACTACCTGACAGATTAGCGGGTTAACTGAACTCAGCCCAGCGGTAACAATTGTTGTATATATATTTTTTTCCTTGTGCTATTTTGCTGTAATATTATCTGTAACGTGGCAGAGTACCAGTGCCAGTGCCAACGGCTCTGACCGCGACAGCTCTCCGGAGAGTGGCAGCTGTTTTTCGCTCCCTTTTCCCCGTTATTCCCGTCCCACTCTCCCGCCGCTGTTAGACCTCCGCAGCCTCAGAGCGCGAGCTGGAAGTGCGCCATAAACGTCGCGAGCGTCGCCCTTTCCACTATGCCCTAAATACCCGAGGCTCGGCTTGGTTTGGGCTGCGTTTACGTAAGCCTGCGCGGTATCCAGTTCGCTTTAAAACCGCTGGGACTACTGCGCTACGGAGCGCAGGGGCGGCCTTGCGGACAGCAAGGAGTCTCCTTGAATAAGTGCGTCTTGGTTGCGTCATTTCCTGCTCCTTATGGACTTTCATTAAATAAGGGTGTGTTTGTAAAATATAAATTCATCCTAGGGCACTATTAAAACAACAGCATGTGCTGTATGCCATGTCATATTGATGCTGAAAGTTAATTGCACGTCTTTAAAAATAAGTAAATGTACTACTATTATATGCTTAAAATGCACTCTTTCACTCTTTGCGGGTTGGAAAGGCTATCAGCTACATTGTTTAGTCAGTGATATAGTCACCAAAGCCACAGTCATGTCCAACCGCAACCCAGCCCCTCTGCATGCATCCCTGGGGACCTAAGTGTTTGTATCATCTGCACTGGCTTGTCTCTTCCCAAGAACTTCTACCTCACTTCCTGAAAGCTATCCATGCATAGTTCTCAGCTGGAGTTTTCAGGTAAAAGCCCGCGTGGTCCAGAAAGTGCTTGCATCACTTATGTTCACTTACCTGACTTCTATAGTTGTGATACTTACACAAACTCTAACACATCTGGTGTGACACTCACGCTTTCAGACTCTCACATCTCACGTAAGAAATCTTATGGCAAATCTATATTATTCCATTATAAACATTAAATTACAAAATTACCGACATCAAAAACATTTGGGTGGTTTGCAAACCCTACAGACTATTTACAAGGTAATTAAACTGTCACATAAATGTAAATACATGCACTGAGTTGTCCCAAATTGGAAATTTTTCTTCAGCCAACTGAGCAAAGTTGGTAATCCTGAGTTACAATGTGGAAATCATACACACACACTGATTTTTCCCCCATTTATATCTTCTATTTTGTGTGTTTTGCTGCAGAGTTAAACTGACTTGAGTCCTGATATAATTATGTGTGTAGGGTAGATTGTCCTCAGACCATCCCTGTAAATTTGTCATACTGTTTATGCTAATTGATTTATTATCCGTATAAAGAAATGTCATCAGTGATTAAACAATCGATAAAATTGGAAAAATCAATACCACAATCAAACTCTGATTCCAATGACATCAGTGTATCGTAGAAAAGCAGTTAATTTTACGCATGTACAGTAATGTGGTACATAGCTATAATATTCTGCATATAAAACATACCACACAAATGTATTAAAATATTTGTATATCTTCATTAGCTTTATACTCATTTGTTCTGCAGTTAAGAGGTTTGCATGGAAGAATATTTAAAATTCAGCACATATGAAAAACAACAAAGACTATGAGGGATAAAGAAAATATGCACAAGTTTAAAGAAACATAGAAAAAACACAAAAGTAGTCAAAACATATAAAAGTCCTTTTTACAGGAAAGCTCAATCAGAAAGGATTGACTCAGAATAACTATATGTAATCCAAATGTACATCACCCCCATTGCACAGTCAGAGTGGTACATCCCAGCCGCTCTCTCTCCCCCTCTCCCAGTGTCCTCCATCTCTTCTCCCTCCCTCATTCTCTGACATTTCTCCTTGAGGAAGGCGCTGAGCCCAGCCCCGCACTCCCTCCCAGCAGGCCTCATTATCCCTCTGTTATCATTTCTCCATCCAAATCCAGGTCCGAGAAGCTGCACAGCTAGGACTGAGGCAGCCAGAGGAAACACGGTAAGCGAGAATCGTTTTATTCCTGTTATCATCGTCATCTCTCTCTCTCTCTCTCTCTCGCTACCTCTGGGGGCCTGAGCCGTCTCACCCTGCTGCATCCACTGCAATGCTCTGCCCAAACGCAGGTGTAATACCATGCAGTGGGGGGATGCATATGGAGAGATGGGCTCCTTATACACAAGCACAGTCAAAATGTCTTGTTTCTTCCATTATTTATTAAATCCTCATTCTATCCTTCAGCTCTCGGGCTGAGACCTTATCCTCCCCTATACTGTCACTGCTCCTGCCCCCTCCTCTTTCTCCCTGTAATGTCCTCCATTAGCATGGCATGTGAGTCACACAGTGCCGGTGTCCCAGGCCTGCAATAGGCCCAACGCAGCCAGTCCCACATAAGGTCTCAGACTGACCCTGTATTTCCAGGCTGGCCTTGGTGTACCTGGGTACGCGTTATGTTTGGTGGAAATCGGGCCGCTTTTGCAACGATGACCACAGAGGGTGTTGATGTAGCACCTTGAAATGGGACCCCTGTGTTCTGGCTTGGTGCCCACCCTCCATGTTGTCACATTTGGTCTAGTCGGTGTGACTGTAGTCCAGTTATTACTGCGCAGGAGTGAGATCAACTAGGTGTTAGGAAAGTTGCGCTGAGTTCAGTGTCCTTCAAGGTCATGTTCTTCCTCTAGTTTTGTTCCTTCTATCTAAAACCTAGAGTAGTGTTTCCCAATCCAGTCCTCAGGGGACCCACAGACAGTCCGTGATTTTGCGCCCTCCCAGTTCCTGACCAAAATTGCAGAAATGTGGACTGTCTGGCAGGAAGCTGGGAGGGAGCAAAAACATGTACCAGCTGTGGGTCCCCAAGGACCGGATTGGGAAACACTGACCTAGAGACTAACCCTGACAAAAGCTACTTATCAGAATATTGGCAATTAAACCTGCTAATTATTTTAATGTTAACAGAAAGTATCTGTTTCTTTCTGTTTGTTTCTCCTGGGACTTGACATTCAGAGAGAACCTCCAGTCTAGGAAATAGCCCCCCTCGCCTCTGTTTTCGCATCCCATGGAGGCCAAAATGAAAAGCGGAGCAGGGGCTCCTAAAGCAGCCCCCGCTTCCAAAGAGAAACAAGGTGAAAAGGCGGAAAAGAAAGATTCAGCCACACCACGCAAAGCCAACCCCGCCCCTGCTGATCCCGCCCCAGCAGCCCCTGCTCCTGAGAAGCCCGCTGTGGATGGAACAACTGACCAGGAGGCGGCGCCAGAGGGCAGTGAGGCAAGAGAGCCCAGCACAGACTCCCTGGAGAACCTGAAGCCTTTCCTTATTGGGGGAGCAGTCATTGCTGCTGCAGCCATCCTGGTGGGGGCACTGTTGTTGGCGCGGAGGCATTGAGAGCATCCTGCTTAGTTTATTGGTTAATCGGCAAAAGCATTGCTTGCTGATTGGTTAATTTACTGGCTTATATTGATTAACTGAGGAAGAAAATGTGTGGAAGGCACCCTGCCCATTATTCCATTTACACAACTCCCGAGCAAACTTACCTATGTATATAAACAGGTATACCCACGAATCACATGCCAAACCCGATAGTCCATTTTGGCAGCATACTAACATATGTGTGGCTGTACTTTCAAATATGTTAATCCATTTGGTACGGAGTCTCTGTAAAATGAAACAAAATGATGTTGCTATGGCAACATTAAGAACAACATTTCAATGGTACAGTAAACATTCTAGAGAATTATTGTTATTTTGATCCATTTCAGTGTGGGGGCTCAGTGTGGTGGATTGTAGCATTTTGATGATTCAAGAACATCTCATATATAAAGTCATAATTAATTTGTGGCAAGAGCAGCAATAGTTGTTCTGTTCTAGTTGTAGTGATAAAATTTGTGACATTTTCTATGAGACTTAGCCAAAAAGAAACCAACTACTGAGACCTCTCATATAGGTCCACCTAGGAAATATTTACTTCTGAAGTAATTGGCCATGGTTTTAAAATTGTAAATTGTTATAAATGTCTAAATGCGAGTCCGTAAGATGAAAGCATGAGGCATCGTCTTCTTAGTAACTCCAACAGGATGTAGGGAATCAGGATGTGGGGGGTGGAGTGAAGAATCGTCTGCAAAAGGGAGGATCTTCTGCCGGGTGAGCTGCGTATCCTTATTTGAGTAGCTCTCTGTGTACTTAGAATGCTTGCTAAATTGACGCCATGTCCTCCGTTGAAGATGTAGGATGTACCCTATCATACTACTGCCCTACCTACCCCATCGCTCTATCCACAGTGATTATGATACCAATACAATTTCTTGTAACACACATCATTGGTTGACACTGGAAGCAATATAATGCTTTGAATGTTACTGAAAATATATTTAACTTTCAAGTAAACCTTTGCCACTGCTAAGTGACTAGGGAATGTGTATGTTTGTTGGGCATTAAAAGAACATCACTTCAGTGTGAATTACATAATTGATAAAAAATTATATGTATTTGTCTCATTGTCTGTGTAGATTTAATTTGTAAATTGTATAGGTAGGGAAACCCGATTTGTATATTTATTTTCTTATTTAAAGCTACACAGGCAGGATATGGTGGAGCAAAATGTCTATTATAGGTCTCTGTGGCAACTATATAGAATATCCAAAACACACTTGGCATGAAGTGTGTTTTAAGATTTGTCTCTTTTGGCTCCAAATTGTCTATTTTTGGCACCTAATTTTGCTGTTTCTGGAAACAAGCAAAAGTGTGATATTTTGGTAGCTAGAATGTGTACAATGTATGGATGCACTACTTGTAAGTATAATGTACATACTTCTATGCTAGTGATCCTAGGGTCTGTCAGAATCTCCTCTTGCACTTTTGACTTAACAGAACTCTACGGGTTTTCCGTCAGAACCATTTTCACATCTAATTGCACTGATTATTAATAATAGATGACCTTCCTGCGCACTGACATTAAACCCACAAAAAGAACACCGTCATAATCCTCTCCGCGAATGCATACAGTCCCTTAGCAGACCATATGCCGCAGTGCATAGAGCATACTCTGACACTGATTCTCTATGGAAAGTAACAAAAAAGTTTAGCTTTATTCACTTTATTGTTTTTATTCTTCTCCAGAGCGTATAAATGCAATAATTCTAGTAGGAATATACGTTTTAGCACATTATTGTGACTCAATAATGGTTATGATAATAAAAATGAAAATAACGATTATTATTATTCCCAATATAACCAGTCCTCCCCCCCCCCATACCATGGGCTTTCCCTCATGCTAAAATGTTCCTGCCAACTACTGGCATGTCAGGAGGAGAAAAAGGCTCCTCTCTGACCATTATATAATTATTTAAACAAGCCCTTTTCAGTCTGAATCTCTTTTGGGCTGAGGTGCAAATGCACAGATGCCATAAATTTGATTCACACTTATGCCTGGACATGTCTTGGTCTGGAACAAACCATCTAATGCAAGTGTAGTGATGATGTCATTAATGATGTTTCTGTATATTATGGAGCCCTGAGTTTGGCCCTCAGGATCCCATTCACATCCATTGACTACCTTGTTGTATCGACTCTAGTTATAGATTAATTTTTTTTGGTCAATGTGGTTTGATGACTGGGCTTAATAAAACAAAGTGCAAGGTATTTCTGAGTTATGGTTTTTGATTACACACAGGTAGGGTGGCCACCTAACCCATGATGATTGGTCAATGTCCTATAGTCATGCATGTGTGAATAATGTTAATGTAAAACAGCTGGATGAGACTTTCAATCAAGGAAACAAACCAGTAAAAGCACAAGAAGAACTAAACTAGTTTTAAAGTTGTGTGTAAAACCTGAAGTAGCTCATAGTGTCACTCTACACACAGGCTATATTCCAGTATTACAGTGTTTGATGGATTATTGGTGAAACCTGATTCATTACACAACCCATTCAACTCAAGGCATCAGAAAATATAAGTGTTACTGTAGTGCGGTGTGTATAGATCACTGACAGATCAATGTTGATTGCAGGCAAAGTTTCACCAGCAACAGGAAGGCACAAAGTGCTTCAGGGATCAAGGGAATTCTCCTGTCTACTCATACTTGGCGGGGTTCCTGATACACATGTGAGCACTAATTCATTGCCAATAGCCTCAGAGGCTGAAATGACATTTGGCTGCAAGAGACTTATATGAAGCATTTCAATCCAGTGCCAATGCATTCAATGCCATAATAATACCCTCTAACTACCTTTAGTTTGTGAATTAACATTTTGAAAAACATGTTGCTATCTGACATTAATAAGGTACTCACGATGCTAATTTTGTTTTTGTTCCATTCATGCACTTTCAGTTTGGAATATCAGTAACAAGACACCTTGTTTTCTGAATTTTCCTTGAAGATGACGGTTTTGATCTGTGGGATCACAAAAGCAGAGAACAAGGGAAGGGACTTTGGTGTCTGTAACTGGATTATGTGACAAATTACCTTTGACCTGAGGGGTGGGAAGAGGGGGACACCAGCATAAGTGGTTGATTTGCTAAATTGGTGTCCCCTCAGAGTATGCTGCCCTAGGCAATTGCCCTGAGAGGGATGCCATTCCATCATAATAGGAATTTAGCTATTTTCCCCAGGTAGGCCTACATATTTTACAATATTCCCAAATTTTCAAAATCTTAATATTCTTTAAATGAAATGAATAACAACACAAAAAAAACAAACCTGTTCATCTTTTATTTTATGTAAATATTGGGTGAAGAAACATGACCATCTGTTCCACACGTTACGGCTGGGTGAACATTTTGTATATTCTCTTTATCTCACGAATAGATATGAATCCGATATTACGAGAGGTCAGAGGTTTAATATTTGTAATAAATGATGACACTCTTCTGAATACTCTGAATACAGTCCTGGTATTATGTTAACAAGTGAAATTCAGCTTCACTTTTGCTGACAAATTTGAAAACTAATAAAACAACCTAAACGATATTCGTAACTATTTATGTTGAGAATTATTTAATACCGCGGAATATAGCTTTAATACTTCTCTGTGTCGAAAGACAGTGTGAGTATTTGTGAATGGATGCCTCATCCAGATACTGAGAATGTCTGTTTCAAGATGGCGGCCATTAGGTCTGGTACGTGGACGCGTTGCTATAGATACGAATCCATATTTTGTAAAGAAAGCTTAAAATGTATGCAGTGTAGTATCAAATGCAGTATCAGATTTAGCGGCTGCAAAGTGCATTTGAAATATTACATGCAGTTACTCAGAACTAGGCATTAAATTCCGTGCGCGATTTAATTAAAATTGGAAGTAGTTATTTGGCTAACAACATAGCCCAGAGTTGGCGGATGCATTGCTATGTGGTGTACAAACAATATTCCTATAAATCTTAATTTTACCCTTTGTTTTGTGAGTCGATGTTGGAACACGCTGCTTATATAAATAAAGCAGATTTGATGTTCATGCGAGCGCAGATATTATGACTTGCTATCTTACGTTATAGTGTTTAGCTGCGAAAACGCTATGCTAACACTGTAACAACTCCACTGTTTCATTAATAATTTATTTCAGACGTAATGAAGTTGATCAATAACGTGGGCATTCAGTCAACATCACAGGAAATTCTTCTTGTGATTCATTTAGTTGTTAGTTTGTGGATTGCAGCGTTTACCATGCCAACCTGTTTTCTCCTACCTTTCCAGGAAGAACTGCGACTGTAGTATCCTTTAGGTCAATCGCATGGATTCTTTTTAGTTCTTTATTCACGTCATTTAATTCGAATCAATGGAAAATGGAATCAAGCCTCCCACAATTTGAGAAAAATAATTGTCCGAAATAAGTACCTGATTATTAAAGAATTATATTGAAAGTAAAATATGGAAGTTATATCTCAAAAGCCTAAGCAGAGACTTGTTGAATACGCGGGAAAAAAAAGATCAGTATAGACACTCAGTCAAAGAAGTATTTTTCCCCAGCACGATTAATAGAAAAATAGTCCAACCAGGTAGGAAATAGGATACCGACAGCAGTGGACGTGGTCACGGCTGCTCTGGCTGTGAGGAGAGTTAAAGCTAACTGCAGTGGCAGTATAGCAGTCACTGAAGCCACTTTGGAGCACAGCAGGAAAGAAGATACGGGCTGCAGGAAGCTGTTTATGTAGTCAGTAAACTTTAACAGCTTTAATTTGGACAGTGTTATGTAAACAGCTTGATGTGTAAATGTGTATGGAAACAAACAGGTGCATGCCTTATGCACATTTTCACCATGTCTCCAGTGTTAAGAGTCTTTACTACTATCCCAGCTATCCTCAGTGTCCCTGCAACTGCTCCTTTACCTCTCAGCTGTTTACTCCCTCTTCTACTTCCTGGGCACGCTCAGCATGATTATCTACAAGAGTGAGTAAGATGGGAAGGGGGTACTCTGCTACTCCGTGTGTGCCAGATGGGTGTAGTAACATGTCATCTGTCCCAGGCCAGGCACTGAGCTACCCAGGCAAGATTTTACTTCTAGATGTGTGTCTGCTGCTCCTCATGGCTGTGCTGGAGACCCTCCGACTGTACTGGGGTGAGGCCTGGGGCATCATGGGAGGGGGAGACGTGGGAGGGCTGTCTGAACCAGGCCAGAATGAGACTCCTTTAAGATTTTAATGCTGTCAATTTTTAAAACCTTTCAAAGATTTATTTGATTGGTGAATCCACTGACTCTGTTTCTGGTGCTGAAATATCAGCCTGTCAACCTCAAATGCAGGAATCCATCGACTTGCATCCGTGAGTCAATTTGGGCATATCTTGATAGTTAAAGGGCAAGACATTAAGTACAGTGCTGTAATATAAACACTGTAATATACTCACCATATTTACATAATTTTCACATAATGATGTAAATATAAAAGCACAATGCTTTATAAAAAACAAAAGATACACCCTCTAATATCCTACTGTGTTTAGGAGTCTCTCGATCCGTGTATATTATTTACTTTCGGACGTTAACCTCGGATGTAAATGCAACTGGACTGGAAGTCGACTGATACCTGTATATCAGAGTAAATCCAAAATCAACAAATATAAGCAAAATATGAAAAACTGTACATTACTAGCAGTTAATTATGCTATATATTATTACAGGAATAACATACTGTGATTCTGTGGTGTTCCTCCATACTTTCCTGCGTTCTGCATTTTCACTCTTTGCCATTTTTCCCATCTTCACCCTCGCAGGTGTGAGAGGTAACTTGCAGGAGAGTGAGCGCTGTGTGGGGTTCAGTCTTGCCCTGACTCTGGCCACCACACTGTTTGCCGTCTACTTCCTGCTGTGGCAGGCTTACGTCTTGCAAGCAGACATCATCATTGGCGCCGTGCTGCTGGTCCTCTACGGGCTGTCCGGTGCCCTGGGGCTCGTCACCCTGGCCCGATTCATGAGGTCAGACCACCATATAGAGGGCTGGACTTCAAAATTCCAAAGAAAGAAGTTTGTGGGACAAACTGGCGCTGTGTTTTATTAATGAAACATTCAGTGGTTTTGCATGAGCAGCTGGCACTAACTCTTTAGTAATAATAAAATGATAAATAATTGATATTTCTGTTGATCCCCATGGGGAAATTCTCTTCATGCCTCCCCCAACTTGCTCTCTATAGGTAAGAGCAAGCTGGCAGTGAAATGCAGCCACCGGGTGATCTGCCAGGGAGGTGGGGGTTAAAGGCCATGCTCGAGTACCCGCCTACGTGCCAAGGCCGGGCTTCAGCTGGTGACAGGCACAGAGGAGCAACACGCTGCCCCCCAGAAAAACATAGCATACAGAAAATAAACCATCACATGGATAAATAATTAAAATTAAATACATGGATGGATGGATGGATAGATCATTATAATGAATCTGACGACGTGCTGTGATGCATGCAAAGTGATATCAGAATGCGTGTAACCTTATTACTTTACAGTATGACGCAACAGATGAATGCAGCCCTCAGTGAAGAACTTTCTTTGGTCTGGTATTACAGCATGTCACAATGCTCTCTTGTGTCTTACAGTTCCTACTCATGAGAGGTTTGTGTCTGCATTCTTCCCCTGTGCCTTTTGAACGCTGCCTATGGAACGTCTGCTCCGGCTTCCCATCCATAAAACAAGCTGAAGGAGATCTGCTGTGTGCCAGGAGGTCATTAACCTCAGGATTGGATAGACCCGGATCATAAGCACCACTGACAGGTCGGTTAGTCTGTAGAACCATGAGTGTGAAGAGATGCAGAAATTAAGGGCTTTTGTCATTTTGAGCATTCAAATACCTTATATTGTTAGTGGCACAACAAATGGCCTTGTCAGTTCTTATTGATCATGTTCTCTATGTGTATTTGTATCGTTCTGTATAAGGGCTTCTGTGATCCTTCCTTAGCCTTTGTGGGGGACAAGAGACTAGATATAGAGTCGGGAACTTCTGTGCATTTATTAATAGAAAAGCGTCATTAAAAATCCGACTGCTGGCCCTTTGAATCATACAATGTCAGAAGTAAGGCTCTATTTCTCTTTGGTGCTCTGACTGCCTGTTCTGCTGGATAAAAAATTAGTTAAATCCTGCAGTTATTGTTGTTTGTGCTCTTTCCCAGAGATTTTTTTTTTATTTTAAGTAACGAACCCATTAAAACGAACGCTATTGTGTTAAATATTTATTTGGAAGCTTTCATTGCATTTTCTACTTTTTTGAGTTTCATGAAACAAAAATGCTAAGCACAGATCAACTTGAAGAGGATATTGCTTGTATAATTGTTGTCTTAGCCAGTATTGTCCACTAGAGGGAAGACTTGGAATGTAAATCAATCAAGATTTTAGTATTTGTGTTCATTTCCTGTAATGTTTTTCGTAGTTATTTTTTAACGTTATGAAAACACTATTCGAATCCCAATATTGCAGGTCAAATTCAGTGGCCTAGATTTTAAGATGATTTTCGCGGTGCATAATAAATATAGTGAATTAAAAAATAATAAAACATTTACAATGGTTTTACTTAAAAAGGAGGACACTTCACTACATGTTAAATTGATCTAAAACCACCCGACAAGTACCCAAACAGTACCCATATAATCAGAAAACACGTTGCAGTTGCATGGTGGGAAATATTATTCAACGAGTCACCCTAAATAGAGTTATACCCGACTTTACTCAGTTTTTGTAGTTGTTACCACTTGATTTGAGAGTTGTTTTCCATCCATCCATCCATTTTCCAAACCGCTTATCCTTCTGCGTTGCGGGGGTCCCAGGAGTACCATAACAACTTAATGTAATCAGTGCCATGACGCATCTCTGCGGTTGTGCTTACAAAAATATCGCGACATTCTATTCGAAATAGACCGGAGAATTCTGAAACAGAGGAGCAGGCCAGATGAACTAGACTAACTTCATATCATCTAGATTTTTTTGGCCATTGCGTAATAGCATGACTCGGTGACGTACTGTGACTATACTCACTGCCATGTAAGACGAGATCAGTTACAGTTTCAACATAGGCTAATTCGGTCATTTATTACTAGAAATACTGATATGAAACAACACAGGTACCAAATAGATACAGATACCCAATAGATACTTTTTAGAGCTAACAGGGTAGGAAACAAAATAGCTTTAGGCTTAAGCACTATTAGGACATTAAGTTGATTCAACATTACAATTGGACACTTGAATTGTTGTCTATAATTGCCCCCAGAGAAAGAGGTGAACTGTGGAATGTAAATGTCATGGAAGATGATATTCCTTCACAGAGTCATGCTAAATGTTTATTATTAAATTGTGCAGCAAAGCATATTCAGAATGGAAATCAAATAGTGTCAAAGATTATGTGCTTCAGGCTGGTAAAGTTCATGTTCAATACTCTTATCACATTCTTACAAAGTTGCATTCTTTCCAAAACCCCCAGATTCCAAGCTCATGTAACACATCTCAGTACTGTGACAGCTTGGGTTAATTATCAGCCATTGGGGCCTGGTTATTGCAGGTTTCCAAGGTCTCCCTGAAACACATTAATGTTGCATAGGTACAATGTCCTGGGACAGATGTGGACCCACACAGCTCTGTGTTCTTGGGTCAAGGCTTTCTGGAGTGTTTGCGTTCATCGGCAGCTCACAAGCCACTGAGAATCTGCTCTTCTAATACTCCCTAATACTCCCTCATACTCAACCTAAGAGAAGCTAAGATTCAATGAGTCAGGCTCTACTTTATAACTTGAAAAAGCAGTAGCTAGGCTATTCTGATCTCCATTCGTAGACCAGGAGGAATATTGAGGCTGTCTCCTTGAGTCCCCCATAACATACTACATCCAAAAAGACATATATTGTGTTAAATGTGGGTTACAGATTAACAACCAAAACTGGCACAATTCTGTTATTGTTAACTGTCCTAAAACAATGTCTGACTACACAACCCATCCAGAGGGTGTTGTGGTGCTCTTTGATTTAGACTTGAATAGAATTTTTAGTAGGCCTATAATTATATTGATGGCATTTAATCAGATGCCAACCTGTTCAGAGTTATTGCTGGCCTTTGCTCAGTCTTACAAGAGGCCCTTGTAGATTAAGCTGGAATTTGCACTTAGGGACAGCATTTTATTAAGATCATGCATTTGATGATTTCCACACCTCAATCCCTGCACTGTGACCCCCACAGTTCATTCCTACCCAGTTGGCAGAGCACGGTGTCAACTACACAAAGGTGAAACGCTGGAAACATATACCGTCATTATCGCATTGCACATTAAATAGCATAATAGTTTGGCGAAGTTCCCAAGATGCTTGAAGCATGCCTGTGATGATTGCTGTTTTTTCAAACGACAATTAAACACAAAATGGGTGTAAACCACTCGGAGTTAAACGTGTCATTGCCGTCATTCAACTGTGCCGTATGTCAGCTCGAGTCGAAGCTCCTCCCCTTTCGCTTCGCAGGTAAATTTATCTAGTCACCTGTCACCCCCCCCCCCCCCCTCCTGAATAGTCGGTCGGCAAGCACCATCCGACAACAAAAAGTCTGTAGCAACGCGCTCCACCTATAATGTGTTTACATTGTTCCCCGATGTGACTTGAATTCGCTCCCATTCGAGGAAAAGTCACTAGAAGTCCAGTATTCCCAACTCAAGTGACAAAGTTCAGACTGACGCCTGGAAACAGACCATTTGTTGCCTGGGGGCTGAAATGACACGTTGAGGCGCCTGTCAGCCTTCAGAAACTGGGGACAAAGTATATACCCACATTTATATTTTTACATCGATATCCAAGCAGCTATTCAAGACAGGATCCCGTTTCTGGATCTCAGACAGGTGAGTGCGCTCTGATTCAAAGTCTAGTTACTAAGGCTTTAAGTAGTAATTCTCAGTGAGTAATTCACGGTGAACCAAACACAAACGAATAGCCTAAACTTCGTAAGAGAAACTGAATAGCCTATGTAGTTTTACAGCTGTTAAAGTAGCTTAACAACGTAAATTAAGTGGCGTTTCTTTATTGACGACGACACTGCGTAGCATCGAAATATGGCAGAGATAAGTAAAGCTAAATTTTTAGCTTCATACTGTAAATCAGGGACCAGTTGAACATGTGGCATGAGAATTTTCCGTGCAAACTCGTTCTTCCACATTTTCATCAGTGTAAGTATTACCCCCGGCGGGTTTCGCCGCCTGCGCCTCGCAGTACTATAATAACTCTTCCTGATCTAAAGGCGTTTCCAAACGGCGACAACGCCGGAAAGCGTCTGCTTTTAAACGAATTATTATACAGCAATTAAAAAAAAATAAACCCAGAAGAGGCAGAATAGAAACGCACTGATGGTAGAAACAATTATTTCTGCAAATATGATCCGTTCAGGCAAATAATACGTAAATCCCCATATGCCCGGTTAATTAAATAATGCTTAAGCAATGACAGTGTGAAATACTCCCGAGTTAATCAGTGTATGAAGACCGAAAGCGATATGTCCCCAAAGCTGCTGCGTTTAGGTTTAAACAGCCCCCCCCCATGCATTTGTGCCACAGCAAAGCCACTTGAGCCGCCTGTAAAAGTTGCATGGCTCCCGGATCATGTGTCCGGACGTCCAGCTGAACAGTGTTCTCACCGGGGGGCTGGATTTTGGATAAACCCCTATGAGCGTCTTGCTATAAGGAATGTTTTTATGGGCCGCCTTATAGCGTACAACGCAACTCCCTGGGCCATATCTCACAGAGGGGATCCTAACTTGTGTGCCCTAGCGACAAAAACGCATAGTAGGGATGCGTGTTAAACCTTTATAAATGCTTTATGATTACCTTCGTTGCTGTGGTAGTAACACCAAAGAACGTGTTAGTTGTCGTACACTTTTACACTGACCCATTAGCAATACATCTGTCTGAGGTACACAGCGCCCCATGCACTATTACCCTTGCACTAGTAGTACAATTTGAATGAAATTTAAGAATAAGCCATACAGGTATATGTCATATAGACCCACTTGCAGGTAAACGTCTAGCAGTAAGCTTCTTATTAAGGGCCCCAGTGCAAGATTTTTTTTCTTCTTGCATTATAAATGTTCTTAAATGCTTCATATAAAGCCAAAATCAGACATACAAAGAAACAACCAGCAAAGCCTCTGACCCTTAAAGTTTAAATGTTATAGATGTACCATGTATATTTGAGAAATATCCTGAAGCTATCCAATATGGACTTTTATAGTTTTTAACACTGAACGAGACAGACTTGCCAGCCAGGTAAAGGGTATATACTGTATATCATTTGGTTTCCGGTGTTTCATAACGTAATGTAATGTACTTCGGTAATTTAAACTAATAGATCAATGGCCTCCTGATCCTCCACGTTACGGACCCCACTGACCCTCTTTGGGCCCCCTGTTACTGTGGGGCCCCTGTTTCTGTGGGACCCCTGTTTCTGTGGGCCCCCTGTTACTGTGGGACCCCTGTTTCTGTGGGCCCCCTGTTACTGTGGGGCCCCTGTTTCTGTGGGCCCCCTGTTACTGTGGGGCCCCTCTTTCTGTGGGCCCCAGCACGGCTGCATTGCCTGTAATTCCTCCAGCGCTGGCTAGCCTGTCAGTCCTGCTTTTCACTAATGACTGTCGCAAAAATCTGTCACGGAAGTGACGGTGGAGGAATGGAATGACCCGCAGAAGCGTGCCAAATCTGCCCTAGCTACGTGTTCATTCGCCAGCTCAGCAGGGGGCCGACGTGTTCGGGCTGTGGCCGTACAAAAGGGCCGGACATACCTCAGACACCAAGGACAGGGGCACCTTGTTCGAACGAAGTCTGTATGTCTCGCGTCGGCTAGCATGGCTTGGCAGGACATCATCGGCCTGTCAGTTTATGGGCTCCAGTGTTTCATATGTTGTTCAGACATTTAAAACAAGGTACCATAATAAGCTGGATTAATTAGAACAGCCGCAGCCAGGGGGCAGGAGGTAGCGGATTGGCTGAGGGCTGCCTGTGACATTTACCTGCTGTGATGCTTCCTCATTTCTTCTGAGTCGTCACTATTCCAGCACTTACCCACCCCTGCTTATATGAACTGACCTGCAATGAACACTTGCAAAGTAAACCAAGTAGTTAAGGTATGACTGACCCCAAACCGAAGTTGCAGCTTAAATTCTTAAGGGAGATGATTATTGTACGCTTGCACTATCCACTCAGGCACTACATGCACAAAATTAGTCAATATTCTTTATGTAACACAATTTAAATATATTGAGAAGATTGCTAATTGACAGGTAATGTATTTATTATATACATGAATGTTTGTAGATAAAAATGGCAATTTTTGTGCAAATATAAGCTAAGGTAAGCTCCCGATAGAGCTTAGATTGTGGTGCGTAAGTTCATTAGAGGAGTGGCGGCTGACTGGTCGACAGAAATACTATTGAATCCAGGCTGCAATTGATTCCCACTCCCTGGCCAATCTTTGCATCGGAACGCACAGGTCGGCAAACTCTTTCGGATGCATAGGCCCTTGTCTTTGTGTTACTGATGAA